CCCCCCCCAAAAAAACCCAGTTCTCAACCATAAGTGGTCCTTTTGTTTTGGGAGCAGGGATGCCTCTAAACCCTGGTAGGGAGAGGAATAGGGGCCACATCCCCATTCTTCACCGAACCCAGAAACCTAGAGTCTTTTCTCTTTGCCCTCACTCCCCAAAAACAAACACCCTTTGTGTGCACTGACATTTACAGCCTTCTAAGAGGAAGTTAGCATTGCCGATTTAACCGTTTACGCCTCCCCTAAGAACATTAAGGGTGGTGAGTTTGTTCTTGGATGTTACCCACCCAGCTCACTGCCGGGCAAGATGCTAGTGACTTGAAGCAAGAAGCAAATATATTTTTTTTTCCTATCAAGTCTAGCAGTGATTACCTACTATCCTTGTTCCCCATAAAATATCTGTAGGTGAAAAATCTCCGAACTGGCCTACTGTAAGTTTTTCTCCCTGCAAGAAACTTATAATAAAAATCTGACACATGTACATAAAGAAAAAATTTCATATACTGTAATACTGTCCTCAGGCAATTACCAGTTCTACTTTCTAAATTACTCTTGACTCGGTCAACTTCTCTCCATTCCCACGGCCAATGCCATAATCCAAGTCACTGGATTTCCTGCTTGGCCTATTGAAGTAAACAGAAGTTACCCCAGAGCCATTTTTATGAAATTTAAAAAAGCTCATGTTGGAGCACCCAGGTGGTTCAGTCGGTTAAGCGTCCAACTCTTGATTTTGGCTCGGGTCATGATCTCAGGGTCACGAGATCGAGCCCTACACCAGGCTCTGCGCTCACCGGGGACCCTCTGCCTCTCCCTCTCCCCGTATTCGTGTGTGCATGCTCTCCCTAAAATAAACAAATCTTTAAAAAATAAGGAAGTAAATAAATAAATATGTTCATGGCCCTCCTGGGCTTCAAACTTCCTGACCACATCCCGGTGCTCCTAGGACTGAGAACCAAGGCCCGGGGTCGACCCCGCCAGCCCCACCTGGCCTGTGCCCTCACCCTCGGCGATCCGGCCACCTGGTGAGCGGTCACCCCCAGCACATGACATCAGCATGTGCTGCTGCCTCTGCTAGGAACACCCTGGCTCTGGTTCCCTCCGAGTTCCCCCTTCCAGTTTCGGCTCAACGGCCGTCGAACTCACAGAAAACCCTCCAATTCCTGCTATCATACCTACCAGCCCCTCTCCCCACCGCACCGAACTGAGGCCAGGACCCGCACGTGGGACTCGTGGGCTCGGAACCGCTTCCCTTGAAGGCGCTCCCTTCCTCAGTGCTGTGTCCCGGCCCCTAGCACAGTGGCTGGTACCCAGTGGACCCAGTAAACAGCTGTGGAATGAGGAGGGGGGGGGCGGGGCGACCGGGACACAAACCGGAGATGGACACAGAGATATGAACAAACACAAAAGGAGACCCCCGGACAGGGCAAAGAGGGACAGAGACACCAGACACGCCACCCGGACGAGGAAGGAGAGGGATACCAACACGCACAGGTACCAAGGCAGACAGGAAGAAGTGTGAGACATGGAAAGAGAACGAAAGAGAAAGAGCCACTCTAGGGAGGTGAGTGGTCCTGCCTTAAGCGTTGGCGCCAGCTTCGGAACCAGACCCGTCCTGGGGGAGGGCTGCAGGCACCCACCGCTCCAGCAGGACCCATCACCTCCATGACGTCATGCCGACCACGGCCTCCCCCCACCCCACCCCCAGGTAAGGGCAGGCCCATTCATGATGCTCTTGAAGGGACCAGGCCTTCTGCAGGGGCTTAGCCCTTTCTCCCCGGTCATCAGCTGACCAGACGCGGGTAGATCTCACCCGAGCGCCTGCTCAACACTGCCTGGCTTCTCCATCCCCACCCCTGAAATGATTCGCCCTGTTATTTTTATAACTGGCCCGTAAAGCTCCTCATGTGCACATCTGTATGTACAGGTGCATCCTCCTCTGAGCCCCAGGACAACAGGGATCCTGTCTGTCCCGCGCACTCACAACTGGAGCCTCACAGCCACGTGCACCAGAGCCTGGCTCAGAGCAGAACTCGGGTACCTGTGCAATGAATGACTTAGGTTCTTATTTGGGAGGTGGTCCCAGGAACACTGGTAGAGGAGCGAGGATGTGAGACCAGCAAGGAAAAGAGCTGAGGAAGAGGCTGCTAGGTCGTCCAGCGGGCCCTCCGTGGGTACCTGGAGCCGATCCCATGGGGGCTCGGGGAGTCCTTGCCCCACCACAGAGTAAGGGAACTGGGGTTATTTATCCCCAAACCCCATCTGGTGTTGGTCG